AAAAAAAAAAAAAAAAAAAAGGCTGGGTGTGGTGGCACACACCTGTGATCCCAGCACTCTGGAGGGTGAGATAGGATCACTGTGAGTTCAAGGCCAGCCTGGGCTACATAGTGAGAACCTGTCTCAAACAACAACAAAAACAAAACAAGGATGGACCGTGCACAAAATATTTAACAATGTGGAGTGTGCAGAAATGTGCTGTTACTAAAAAAGGATCTTAGCAGTAATTGACTCCAGTAGTTCTCAGACTGGCCTAGTCATCAGAAGTACTAGGATGTAGAACAAAAGGAACTACAGGTACAGCTCAGTGGTAAAGTGTTTTTGTAGGGTGCACTGAGACTTGGTTTGATCCTTAGCTACTGCAAATAAAATACAAGCTCGGCACAGTGGTTCACACCTGTAATCCCAGTACTTTGGAGGCTGAGACAAGAGGAACACAAGTTTAAGTCCAGTTTGAGCAGCTTAGTAACTTAGTGAGACCTTGTCTTAAACAAAAACAAAAACAAACTAGGGTTGAAGCTTAGTGCAAGGGCACTGAGATGAATCCCCAGTACCACAAAAAAGAACCCTTCTTCTAAAAGAATCCATGGGTCTGATTCCTGTAGAAACCTACTAAGATCTGGAAATTTATACTTTTATAAAACTCCTAGGATAACTTTGGTATTTAGTCAACTAAATTTTGGTTTTTGCTCACCATGATGAGAAAAAATGGCTTCATCAGTTACTGTCCAAAGATGCGCTTAACAAAATCTAAACAAAACAAAACAAACAGAAAAACTAGGGCTGCAGATTTAGCTCAGTGGGGCCCCCTGCTGCATCGCAAGTGCAAGGTCCCAAGTTCGATTCCCGGTACCAAAAAACAAAGCAACAAAACCCCAAATTTGACACAGCAGTAATTTTAGAGTTTCCAGCTCTGCTGAGGGGATGTTTTGATAAACAGAACTTGGGACCACATATAGTAACAGCCAGCTGTTTGTTAGTCACACATGGTTCAGACAAACTTACTGGTAGTTTCTAATGTGCAAATGAAAAATGTGCAGATAGGGAGAAACACCCTTCAGCCTTCGGGTCTTTCATTAAAAAACATGTTGATATAGTGCAATTATTCAAATACATATTGAATAAATGTATAAAACAAAAGAAACTTACCATTTACTGACTTCCTATATCCAGAAACTGTACTAAAACAATGCATAATGAATCCTCATCACAACTCTAGAGTGTAGGTACAATTATCTCCACTGTACAGAGAACGGGAAACAAAGGGTCAGCAAGTTGGAATCACTTCCCAAGAAGATAGTAGCAAGGGGCAGGACAAGGTCATCTGGCTGTAAATCCTGCATTCATTCATTCAATAATTATTACTATGTACCAGGAACAGGACAAAAACCTCTGCCCTTGTGGAGTTTGCATTCCTGCAGGGAAAAGCAAACAATAATGTAAAAAATTATACGGTGGGGTGGAAGGTTAATGAGTAAATGAGGGAGATGGACCGAGTGGGAGTGGGAATGAGCCTTCTAATAATTTTAAATGGGGAAGGGCCAGGGGTTTAGCTCAGTGGCACTGTGCCTGCCTTGCAAGTGCAAAGTCCTGAGTTCAATCCCCAGTACAATTCCTGCAGGGAAAAGCAAACAATAATGTAAAAAATTATACGGTGGGGTGGAAGGTTAATGAGTAAATGAGGGAGATGGACCGAGTGGGAGTGGGAATGAGCCTTCTAATAATTTTAAATGGGGAAGGGCCAGGGGTTTAGCTCAGTGGCACTGTGCCTGCCTTGCAAGTGCAAAGTCCTGAGTTCAATCCCCAGTACACA